CCATCTTTATGTGGTTATATTTGAATAGAAAAATGTTTAAAATCACAGCTAAATTTCATGTCGAGGGGTGTGACCTTAGAAGTGACAACTAATTGTTCATTTTATTGACAGGGACAATTTGGACCAGAACTGGAGATCACTTCCAGACATGTGGATCACTTCCAGACATGTGGATGCATGATGGAACTTGAACACAGAATAGAAGTGCAACATTTTAACACATTGCCTGAAGTGTGAAAACGAGCACTGGTGGATTGACCATGCATGTGTGCCGCTGTTGGCCATGCGTCAGTCCGTTGGAACCAGTTTCCCGGAGATGTCTTACTGATCACATTCAAACCTCACACAATGTCAACTACATGTTTAATTAATATGCACATTTGTTTGTTTCATATCTGATTCAAGATGGCTGAATGGCAGCCATTTTAATGTTAAAAATTCATCAAAATTAAGCGTTTCATCACGTCATGTTCAGATAACACTCAAAATGCCAAACTGTGGTTTCAGGCCTGTATCTCGTACATGCCGTGGCTGATCATGTTCAACTTAATATGTACCTCATACAAGTATTTGTTTGTTGATCAGATTCGAGATTCAAAAATTCAGCAAAATCATGCATTTCTGTGGTTTCAAACCCAGAACTTAGTTATACAGCTATTAGACATTTTGGTACATACATGAACATACATGAACATCGTTAAAACATAATAATCATAATGGATCATAATGTTTTTTCAAAATTGCAAACTGCAAATGCTGTTCTAAGGCCATGTCTTTGAGATACATTGATCACAGTCAAACTTTACAACTACATTTAGACATCATGTCATTTGTTTCATGTTCTAACTCAAAATAGCTGTCTCATTTCAGTTTTGTTAGTCCCTATTCTGACATCCCTATTCTGACACACATGTTGGGCAACATATGCACATTTTCAAGATGCCAAGTATTTTGGTAAAGCTTGTTACATACATTGGACTTTATGGGGCCTTGATGCACGTCATTTAGTTTTTCAGATCTGATTCAAAATTGCTAACTAGAGGCCAGTTTGTTTTAAATTAATGAATGCATTTCAGGAGCCATATCTAACTGTGATGCAATGCAACTACTTGTTTACTGTAGAACAGGGACTATGTCATTTCATACATGATCTGACTCGTCTTTCCACTGATTTTGATGTGTCTGTGGAAGCCTTCAATGTGTTAAACATGAATGTGTTATGTATTGCAGTTTTTACATGAACATAAACTGAAAGGACAAAGTAAGAATGTTGCCAAAACCAGCAAGAAAGATGCCCTGATAAACTATTATAATCAGATGTTTGAAACTAAAGCTTTCAAAGGCAAAGCTGATGATGTTTATAATGCTGCAAATGCTGCTGCTACTGCCGAAATGATCTCAGACAAGGCAGCGGCTTTGAAATTAGAACACGCTGCCAAAGATGGATCCCAAGTAAGTATAAATTCAACACTATGATTTTCACTGTGTTCTGATGCTCTGTCGTGCATGCCAAGTTTTTCTTAACAGATGTCATTTTTGCTCCTGTTTCACATAAACAAAAAGCAGGGATCACTTTAGCGTTGCTTCAGTGTCATTTTCATTTCGTTCACAACATCAAGGCTTGTAGTGCCATTATACACTGTATCTTTTGTGATTGAAATAGTTTTAATGGTGAAGTTTAAAGATAAAACTATTTTATTCTGTGTATTTTTGTGGAGAGATTCAGGTGACATATTATCTGTTGTACGTGACCCTCAGGTGACATTGTTAGCTGTGGAGAGATCTTCAGGTTCCAATGTCAGCTGTGGAGACCTTCGATCAGGTGTCATTTTTAGCTGTGGAGAGATCTTCAGGTGACATTGTCATCTTTGGGGACATTCAGGTGACATTGTCAGCTGTAATGACATTCAGGTGACATTGTCAGCTGTAATGACATTCAAGTGACATTGTCAGCTGCAATGACATTCAAGTGACATTGTCAGCTGTGATGACATTCAGGTGACATTGTCAGCTGTAATGACATTCAGGTGACATTGTCAGCGGTGATGACCTTCAGGTGACATTGTCAGCGGTGATGACCTTCAGGTGACATTGTCAGCTGTGATGACATTCAGGTGACATTGTCAGCTGTGATGACATTCAGGTGACATTGTCAGCTGTGATGACATTCAGGTGACATTGTCAGCTGTAATGACATTCAAGTGACATTGTCAGCGGTGATGACATTCAAGTGACGTCAGCTGTGGAGAGATCTTCAGGTGACATTGTTAGCTGTAATGACATTCAGGTGACATTATCATCTGTAATGACATTCAGGTGACATTGTCAGCTGTGATGACATTCAAGTGACATTGTCAGCTGTGGAGAGATCTTCAGGTGACATTGTTAGCTGTAATGACATTCAAGTGACATTGTCAGCTGTGGAGAGATCTTCAGGTGACATTGTCAGCTGTAATGACATTCAAGTGACATTGTCAGCTGTAATGACATTCAAGTGACATTGTCAGCTGTAATGACATTCAAGTGACATTGTCAGCTGTAATGGCATTCAAGTGACACTGTCAGCTGTAATGACATTCAAGTGACACTGTCAGCTGTAATGACATTCAAGTGACACTGTCAGCTGTAATGACATTCAAGTGACATTGTCAGCTGTGGAGAGATCTTCAGGTGACATTGTCAGCTGTAATGACATTCAAGTGACATTGTCAGCTGTAATGACATTCAAGTGACATTGTCAGCTGTAATGACATTCAAGTGACATTGTCAGCTGTGATGACATTCTAGTCACATTGTCAGCTGTGATGACATTCTAGTCACATTGTCAGATGTGGAGCGATAATGAGCTGACATTTTCATTAACTCGCATTATTGTATTCAAAAACAGGAAGTACCAAGGTTTACCAAGAGAATACTGAAGAAAGGTGATAAAGTGAATTTCTGCAAGAAAGGTGACATAGCAAGAGTATGGTATACTGGTAAATTAGAAAGTGGGACTGTATTTGATACTAATATACTTACAGGTAAGAGAGATGGATATTGTGTTAACTGGTCATAATGGTGTAGTTGTCCCTGACAGTGTTCTACTTGTATTGACATTAGGAAACCATGGTTGTGTTTTTCTGGTGTTAGATACAATGGTTATATTGACCTGAATCTGGTGATGAATGGTAGTATTTAATTACCAGATTATAGTAATGCCTACATGTATACCTTATGTGAGATGCTTGCCTGTTATAAAATATATAACTAAGTACCTCAGAAAGTTTCACTGTATTTTTTGCTACCATTAGGTAAAAAGAAAAAGTCGGCCATGCCATTATCATTCAAGGTTGGAGCTGGTAAGGTTATTCGTGGGGTGAGTCTAGTAAACACCATATTTAATGGATATATTTTGGTGTTGTATATTCAGTTGCATTTGCTCAGCATAAATTGTTGGATCATGTCTGCAACCATTTTTTGGATAATAGGTGGTTTGCAACCAAACTTGGCTGCACTGACTCTGATTTTTTTTGTCCATGGTAGTGGGATGAAGCTCTCCAAACCATGGCTGTAGGTGAGAAAGCTGAAGTCACCATAGAACCAATATGGGCTTATGGCAAGAAAGGCTTAGAGGGAAAGTATCCTTTTAAAAGCAGCTACCATGTCAAATTTTGTTATCTTATTGTTGTTATTACCAATCAGTATGAAAGGGTGATCTACCCCTATTGCAGGAGTTCCTGGGGATGTAGAGGATCTAAGGGGTTCAACCCACACCCTATGTTGTAGATGCTGAACCTCCTGTGCTCACATCAGGGTCCAGTGGGTGTATAGGCAAAAGGTGTTGAGCTACAGGGTTATAGTGTCCTGAATGGGTTTAAATGTGCCTGTTGTATGGGTCTGGGGATTAGAATCCAATACGAGCATTAAGGCCTCAATAGTTCATAGACCCCAGTGGGTATGGAGAGCCCAGTAATTGTTGAGACCCCTGGGTTGTAGATAGTACATTCTCCATGCAGTAAATGTTCAACAATTGAGGTGTTTCTTTATCCACTTTTCTATAAGATTTAATATCAATAATATGTGTGATACAAATACATATCACAACTTGAAAATGGTAAAACCATGAAAATGTTAGCAGAAGCTGCTGCCTAACTCTGCAAAATTTTACTACACTGAATCACAAACACATATTCTAATACATGTAGTGTATTTCCCTTAATTTCATTGAACAGAATTCCACCTAACTCAACACTGGTTTTTGAAGTTGAGCTTGTTGGAGTGGAATAAACTGTCTTCTCCTTCCAGGTGTTTAACTGTGGGAATAACTCTAAAAGTTTATGCTGACAAAGTACAGCACATAAATTATATAACAATAGATTTGTTATTGTTATTTCACTCAATCTTTATTGTCATGAACAAAATATAAACTAAGCTTTCTAATGGTCATCCATTTTGAATATCTTCCCCAATTACATATAGAGATGAAGTGACAAGATTCTAAGATATCAATAAAGCAAATTAAACTGATGCAAAATTAACTTTGTAATACAACAAGCAATGTTTATACTTGTAAATTATTCATAGATGCAGGATTTAAACTTTGGAGTTGAGGGTGCCCATTTTCATGGTAAAGGGGAAACTCATTAGATATCCAGGCATTCAATGCCTTTATGAACTTCAAGCCCTCAAACTCACTGCCATCTTCTCCTACACAGAAAATAATCATATGACCTACTTGCAAAATCATGTAGTTTTGGTCAGTAGTCAGTCTGTTAGTTCATTTGACATCTTTATTCGATCATGATTTTGTAGAGTTGGTACGAAGACAATACATAATGATTTGCATATGTACCTTATCTAGTTTGGTGACCCAATGTAGAATTGGGAAGAGGGGGAAAGATGTTATTTTACAATATGTTTCGTATATTGACCAATTCTGTTAGACATATTGTTTTGTAATTTTATCTAACATGGCCGACTAGCAGCCACTTGGTTAAGAAAACATCTTGCTATGATTACCGGTATTATATTCACAGTTTGGTTATACAATCTAGTGAATTAGACATTCCATGGTCACTTGTAAGAAGATGAAGGGGCCTATTTCATAAGCACATGGTCATTTTGCTCTAGTTTTACCTAGACGTGTGAAATTATATGCCATGCATACATGTCTCAGTGATCTACCATTTTGTTAGAAGAGCTTTCTGTCTATAATGCTTTATACAATTATATCTAAGGCTCAGTTGGTTATTTGATAATAAAATGGGTCCCGTCAAAAAATATAAACAGGTTCAAGTGGCCCAGTTTCTTTGTGTCTGATAACATGATTGTATGTAATGATGACGTTGTGCTACATACACATCAGTGTGTAACTCACTCACTCACTCACTGTTGTGGTTATTATATTCTTACTGATCTTCAAGGAGATTTTGATGGATTTAAAGACTGATGTGTAAACATAAGGCACATAATATTAATTTCAGTAGTTTAAGTTTCTCTCCCTCTTTAAAATCAAATGGGGTTTGTAATTTTTGAGTTTTTAAGTGGAGCTGCAGAATAAATTCCTGTTAAAGTTGATTGTGTAGTACTGTGATTATTTCTCAGCTATGGAATGCAGTGTACAAATACAATGAAACAGATTCAGTGTTTAACCTACACAGTTCACATTTTAACAAAGCAATGGTATCATTGGGAATTAGATATGTGCATAATTAATGAGGTCACATGTCAGTGCATCGATGAATATTCCATAGCACAAGTTGCATTGATATTGGTAGGTCATGTGTCACTGTTGCTCCTGTCACCAATATGGATCTCTCATGTACATAGCACTCGGCTAGCATCAAATAATGACACATTATAGATATCATTCATACACGTCAACTTTTACATCAAATTTTCATGGAATTAGACATGTAAGTATGTGCGTAATGACAGACTATAAATTATGAACATCAAAAATGGAAAATTTCAGCACCCTAACTTAAGATTAAAGCGCGGTAGTCGT